GTTATTTTATATTATTATATAAACCAAACATGAGAAATGAAATAAAATGATATTTCCTTGTTACTTTCTCAACATTACTAAATATGGGAAATGAATCCTTTCCACATTACTAAATATGGGAAATGAATCCTTTCGGAAGACCAAGCGGGCCTTAAGGTGGCTTGACCAATCTCTCCGAAAGATTTGTACAGAAATGGACACCTAGATGAAAATATTAGGTCATCTTTTGAAGTGATTTTAACTTCTCTCCACCAAGATGAGATGAAATCTACTATGGTAGCATTACCATTGATTGATTGTAACCTTTGATGAGCATAAAGCATTCCAATAAAGAAAGTTTTCTTCAAAGGAGAAAAAAGGTAGAATTTCTTGTTGCCCATATCTCAACGCAAAATAGCACATAATTAATAGGCTGCCTAATTAATATACCGGGGTGTCATTATCCAACAAAAAAAGAGTTTAAATCTTGGAAAAATAAAATGTAAATAAAAATTATCATTTTCATTATTTTCCGAACATAAATATCCCCTTGAAATTAACTTTCACAATACTTTAAAGCCATCCATACCATGCACAAACTCATCCAACCCCCCTCAAATTCATGCTTTAACTTATGCAAGACGAATTTATTCATACAAGAGAATAAAACATCTTCACTACAACATTCTCTCCATTTCAAAACACCAATTTCATATGACACTATATCATCTCTCCTCCACAACCTTCTCCACCACCCAAACCCCAAGACACCCTTGAGTCCCGCTCTGGCCCCACTTGTGTTAACTCCAGCTGAACAACCTAGAGGATAAGCTTCTTCACTTCTGCATACTCTGAATCAGAAGCACAAGGTAGAAGATTGATCTTATCTCCACAATACAACCAAATTGAGATTGAAGTGAACTTGCAATGATCTTCCTCCACTTTTACACCTCAGATACATAACCAGGATGTCAGAATTCCAAATCAGCCATTGCTAGACCTAAAATTTTCCATTACTCAGTTAAGACGCACGAGTGTAATCCATTTCTAGTAAAAACCTATTCATGATTCTAAAGACTATCACAGTCTACATGCAGGAAATTTCATCTAGCAAGTGCAAAATTAAGAATTTACAGTTGATGCAAACCATCCCCAAACAAAGCAGATACATGCAAACCGAATTTGCAGAGGTTTGACAGAAAGAAAAGAGAGAGAGAATGGAGGATTCTGCAAATGGAATTTCCTCACCTACGAGAAAGCATTCAGATCGAAATGTTTGTTCAGAGAATAGTTGGAGGAGACAAAGGAGAGAGAGGAGAGACAAATAAGAGAGGAGATTACGAGAGCACCCTCAAGAAAGGGTCGTGTGTGTGTCACCTTACCAAATGTGATGAAATTGGATAAAATTGATGTCAAGCATCACATTTCAACTTTTTGAAATTTCAAGGGGTACAACAGACATTTTTCTTAGGTGGCAAAGTAAACATTGACCAAAGTAACAAATTATAAGCGTAGATAAAGATTTCCCTTAGCATGCTAGGCTCTTTACAGCCCAAATTTTCCTTTTCTCAAGCTTTTAGATACTTAACAAAGCTAAGCGAGCTTGCCAGTTTCAACCCTGAAAAGGTTAGAAAGAGCTGTTCGCGGACACAGACCCTCCAAACTAGGAAAATTGTGGCAAGCATGTAGCTATAGAAATTCAAATATAAAATAGAAGAGAAAAACAAGGCACAAGATGATACACATGAATATACAACGAGACTCTATACACAAAGATAATTTGCTCTGAGGAATCAAGCTATGACCATGTGGATACATACAACATTCCCACCATTTAATATTTCACTCCCTTTCGTTGTTGGATGTTATTATTCCGAACTATACAACTATAGAACACAATAATATAAATGCAGAAGATAATAATTACAATACATCAATGCAAACAAGTGGATTTCCCACCAAAATCCAACAGTCTAAACCTAAACAAGTTAAATCCATCTCCTAAGATCCAATAACAACTATTTCGGTCATAACATGTGTGAAAAACAGCAGTGGTGCTTGTCGAAAGTAAGGGAACTCACCCAAGCAACCAGGCTGCTAGAGAGATGAGCAATCCTTAATCATCCTCACAGCGAGATGGCTTCTGTGACTCAGTCAAAACCTTTACCTCCACCTCTACCTCTACTTCTGCTGATCCTTCTGCCTCCATATCCACCTCCCTTGTTTCTGTAGATCCACTCCCTGCAGGCAAGAAACATGTAACCAAAAGATTGACTCATTAAGAGCTAAAAGGTCTATTAAATAGCAATCTGCCTTTTGTAGATTGAAAGATACATTACATTTAAAATCTGCAAGACATATGATAAAATAAGCAAGCAGCATTCATCTTACGTATTCAAAAGTACATCTTCAGATGTCGTTTCACGCCTTTCCCAGAGTCAATTCTCCATAATCAATTAAGACAATTCATAAATTGAGCAGAATGTAACGAAGTTTCTTTCATTCTTCTGTAGAAGACTGAATGTTTCGGATGCAAACTCTGGCTTTTAGCATTCCATCACGTCCCAATTATGTTTACCATTGAAGATAAAATTGAGGGTAGCCAGAAACAAAAGCTCCCTTTAATTGCCACAAAACTAAAACTCCATTTCAATTTATAAAAACCAACAATTCTATCATACCCATCAAGCTAAAAACTAATTAAAAACTTTGTCTATATACATAACCACCCCCCACCCCCCCCAAAAAAAAAGACAGACAGACACACAAAACAAAACCCCTTTCAATTCGTTAAGATTACCAACAATTCCATCAAACAAAATTGAATAAAAAATATTTTCTAAATACATAAACCAAGAAAGAAAAAGAAAAAGCCCATACCATGAACGAAGAATTGAGAGCAAGGCCATCCTCGATCAGTGGCAACAGAGAGGGACTCTTCATCTGTGAGTTGGTCAGCCAATTTGCCAACCAAGTCAGTCACTTTCAAAGGGGCGCGTCGAGGTGGGACCCAGAAAGAGGAGCCGGGAACGAAGGGGAGCCAATCGGGAGTGGCCCTCTGGACGAGGATGGTCTGAACGATGTCGTCTAGCTTCTTTAGCATTAATTTCTCCGAATCATTCGCCGGCGACGACGACGACGACGACGAGGTGGACGGGTCAAGGTCGATCTCAATCAACTGGGCCTTGCCGGATCGGGTCGAGCGGGCCCGATGGGCCTGGGTCAGGGAGGGCGGGACCCGAGGGCGGTGCAGGAGAGATTGGCGGAGTTGCAGAGTTTGAGTGAGGAGGCGGGCCATTTTGGACTGTAAAGAAGTGTGTAGAGAGAGAGAGAGAGAGAGAGAGAGAGATTTAGAGAGAAAAGAGAAGATATTATGGAAGGGTGGAGGGGATGATGGTTGCTTGAGTTGGGGGTTCAGGTTCGGTGCGGTGGCCTGGCACGTGGTGAGAAGGAGCTGTTATCGTGTAAGAGTACGGTTGGCTGCCTCATTTCATCCTTTTCTTGTCATTTTCTTTTTAAATTTTCTCTTTTTAAAACATTGAATGATGGTAAAAGGAAAAAAAAAATCCCTGCAAATATGGGTTAGTCAAGGAAGTGTGCCCACCAATTTGCAGTCAAGTTCGATCTCCGTAATTTAAAGTATCGCTTTATTCATATTTTTATGAAGAAGATAAATTAAAAGTAGGAAATAGAAAAATGAGGTTCATGAACCAACTATCGTACACCTTGTTCATATTTTGAGGATGAAGATATTTTTATGATGTTTTGTTTTAAATTTTTGGGGCGTGGGGAGGTTTTGTTACTTAATATATATATATATATATTAGGGATCTTTAGTTTTAAACTGGTAATATATTATTGACCAAAAAAAAAGACTATAATATATTGATTTGGTATAGCTTTCCTTTTTCTTTTGTTTTTTGGTCAAATTATCGTATACCTTTCCTTGTGGCCTAAGGTAAGGGCTTGTCTTGTGCTGTATATAAAGGGGTTTTACCAATATCAAATTCTATACAATTACAATTACAATTACACACACTTGCAGGAGTGAAACCCTCACTAGCTCCAAACAATCCAGCTTTGATTGCTAGCCAGCAATGTCTTGTGTTCCATGCATGTCTCACAAGATCAAGGAACAATAAGAATACTAGTAGCAGTCAAGTGTCAGATCAATGGGCAAGTATTCCCCTTCTCTTTTTGATTCTGGATAAGTTGTGGGAAACCTCTGACCATATTCGGGTTGCTGGCGTTTGCAAGCAATGGCGTGTTGCTGCGAAAGAATACAATCGCATAACGCAACGTTGGCGTGAACTTCCTCTTCCCATGCTTCTGATTCCAACAGCATTTGGAGGAAAGCTAGAAATGTACAGCTTTCCTGGAGGAAAAATCTCCGACATTGAGTTATCATTGCCTTGTAATACGATTAGTATGTGCCATGGCCATGGCTGGTTAGCCACAATGGATGTACCAGAGCCTATTTTGTTCGCGCACCCAAAAACTCCGACTGTAATAACTCTGGTGAACCCTTTCAGAAAAGCAGCGGTGCCCATTCATCTTCATCACTTGAGTTTCAGTTACCAGCATATGTATGAAGTCGTCCGAAAGTACTCCCCCGAGGTCTTATTCCCGAAGGTTATCTTATCTGAGGATCCCACATTGAATCCAGACAGTTATATGGTTGCAGTACTTCACAAACATGAACCTGAGTTGGCTTTCAACAAAGGAGGAAGAAAAGATTGGATTTGCACCGGGGAAATTACACGGGGCTTGCTTATGGATGTTATATGTCATAAAAGTCAAGTCTTTGCAGTTGCAGAGTCGGGAGACATTTTTTCCATTAATATCAGTTGGAAGCGAAGAAAAGCAACGATTCTTACCTTGCAAGAATGTCCATTCGCAGGTTTCGCTTATAAAGCTTATCTGGTGGAATCAACTAAGGGAGACTTGTTGCATGTTCGAAGATTGGATAAGGAAGAGGGATTCATGGTTTACAAGTTGGTGTTCAATGGGAGGGATGGATCTGTGCAGCATGTTGAATTGAGAAGTCTTGGAGATGAGGTTATGTTTCTGAGTGACAATTGTGGTATCTCAGTTTTGGCTTCAAACTTTCCTCAGTGCCAACGCAATTCCATATATTACGTAGATCATTGTGCAAAGAATAAAATAGGCCGTTTCAATTTAGAGGATGAAACTATTACAGGATATGACTACTCTTTGTCCATGCCCAAAGCTCTTTGGATTGCGCACCTGTTTACTGGGCTCTGCTAGCAGCTTGTTCTAGTTCATCTAACTACAATTTGTTTTT